TATACATCGCACGGTCCGAGTCTGCAGAATTTTGTCTTATCCTCTAGTATGACCATCATCTTGGTTTGGTAGTCCTCCCTTGACATAATAACCGTTGCCCGACCCTTGTCCGGGCGGGAGATAATGATATCCGGATTTGTTCGGAGCTCCCTCATGACTTTGAGGTGCTCTCGTGTGAGTGAAAAAGACCGGGTGTCAGGAGAGGACTGCGCAAACCTGTGTGCCTCGGCAGCCAGAGACGCCCGGCAAGCCGCTGCTGTTTCGTCAGATTTTGCTGGTACCTTGGACAATTGCTGCTGGAGCAGCTCAAATTCCGCCAACATCTCCAATCGGTGGAGTTTAGGAGGAATGCCAAAATCTAAACCGCCACACAGCACGTCCTTTTGTAGTTGAGTCAAAGGGATATCGCAAGATTAATAATAGTATCATAATGATCGCTACATGTGCCGAATCGGTCCTTTCTCAAGGCAGACACAATCCAAACGCTGTCCAGTCCACCGGTGGATCGTCCTCTTCCCGTGAAGATGTGACTGTATGCCCGTCCTCCTCTGCGTGTGTAGGACACGGGCCAGCTGAGAACAGCATAAAAGATGGTGAAAGACCCACACGTAAACCACCGAAACTGACAAAGGATCTGTCGGCGTCGGAAAGGGTGACGAGAAGCCAAGTGAAAATACGGACTGATGAGGACGAACGTACAACGACAACGGAAGTGACAACAACAGTCAATATTCGAAAACGTGGTAGACCGCGAAAACTAACCTCAATATCGGACACCGGACAAGTTGGAGTAAGAAGCTCAATAGAAATCCGCAATGGAGGAGACGTAACGGAAAGGACACCGGGTATCGCGCACCCAACGGTTAGTGTCAAGAAACGTGGAAGGCCGCGGAAACGCGAAGAGACAGATAGTGGTGATGCCACGAAGAGGCGAGATGACGGGACATTGGAGGAGACAACACCCAATGGAGCTAAGAATCGCACTTCGTCAATCAAGCAACATCTGTCAGCCCGTACCAATTGTCGTGAGTTGTACAGTGATAATGTTTTCTCAATATTGTCACGTGGTAGATGTGCGTTACATTTGGCTGTGTTAGAAGCTTTGTATATCCGTAAGTTGGATCCTGAACTTTGCGTACAGAAAGAAAATGTGTTGTCGCTACAATTGTTTGGTGTTACTCCTCGTCGAGGTGGTAACAATGTAACTTAATTTGCTCACTATGTTGTTGTCACTATTATTATTTTCCTTCGAGTTTTGTGTCGTGCTAAACTTGATAATTTTCCACCTTGTCACGAGTGTTGTTATCTAATTATCTTTACGCTATATAAGTTTTAGTCTTTCCAGCTTGAGCCATTCCCTGTATAATCCTTGATGAGAAGGGACCGAAAACGTTCGGATACTTATGACAAGTGCCTTATTATGACTGGATGTGTGTTTGCGTGGATATTTGCGACCCATAACTTACCTTCGTTTTAAAGTATTATCCGCCTCCGACCTCTTTTAAAAAATAATAATAACATGAGAAATTTTAACCCGGGTCGAGTTCAGCCCGGGTTGAAAGTCTGTACGATAGACAAAAGAGGTGAGAGTTTACATGAAGACAGTTGACCCGGGTCAAATACTGATATGCCGCCAAAAGTCCACTTCTACAGTCCTGTATGGTCACGTGAATCCGTTCGCGCGAAATTTGCATCTGCAGTGCCGTTCAAACCTGGCGCGAGATACGCACAGAAGTACGTTTGTACGATTTTCTTGACCCGGGTTGATTTCAACCCTCCCCTTGGAAGGGCTTGGGGGGAGGGTTGAAATCAACCCGGGGCGAAATTTCAACCCGGGTCAAGCGCAATGCGTCATGTAAACGCGCAATTCATTTTATGCACATGGCGGGTTGAAATCTGACCCGGGTCGAACTCAACCCGGGTTGAAACGCCTCATGTAAACACCGCCTAACTGGTTCCGCAAATTTCACGAATGACCAGAACAGAAAATCGATTCTGGAATTACACACCTTTTTAACTCTTTTAGAAACTAATACTAAATAGAGGTTGTGACTTCGGCGATTATTTTGTTTAGGAATGGGTTTGCTCCCACACCGGAGCTCGCGCTATTCCGCCGACTACTTGACACTTTACTGACTCACGACTGCCATCCGGAAAACACGAGAAGTCCATCGAACCTACGACGTCGACGTTTGTAAACCTGGTGATGCTTGTGCCTGGACAGCACTATATAAGTGGTGCTCTTCAGGCACAATCTTCCTCAGCCTACTCAAGCTTAACTGATGATGGGTGAATTCCCCGAAACACTGTGTATTGAGCAGGGAGTGGTGCTTTCTTGCAGGTTTGCCGAGTCGAAGGTTCGATGGACTTCTCGTGTTCTCTGGATGACAGTCGTGAGTCAGTCAAGCGTCAAGTCGTCGGCGGAATAGCGCGCGCTCTAGTGTGGGAGCAAACCCATTCCTAAACATAGAAACTAATACTGTTGACAGAAAAAAAGAAAATGAAATGAATTGACATATTCAGGGTCAACGTACTTGTGACAATGAAGGTGTGATTGGAAACCGACTTTGCATTCCCCACAGCTCTGGCACCAGACAGGTACTTCCCATCTCCATTGTCTTCCATCGCGACCTTAAACACAACGTGCTCCTCAACTTGCCTGCACTCATGATCAGGCGTTTCCAAGTTGAAATGGATGTAGGAACCACTGTAAATGAAGGAGTTTGAGGGGATAGAAGTTGCACAATCTCCAGAGGTCATAGATATATTCACATACTTTACAGCAGTTGCAGGTGGAGAGAGTGTATACCGAATGGAATGTCGATAAAAGAACAGATACTGAAGTTGCCAGGAAGTCGCCCAGCCAGCCCAGACGTGAGGTGGCTTCCTTAGCAATAGTCGGCAGTAAAACGTAATCTGATGCGATCCAGCGTGTTTTGATCCAATTCTGGTTGAAAAATTGGCCGAAACTGATATATTTTGTGCGAATGACATTTGCTTGTAAGTTGCAAGTTCAACAACTAGAGGTGATATTGATATCAGCGTCCACACAAATCCCTCCTGACGCGATCCGCTCAGGTTCCCCTGTGTGAAGTTCTGGTCCGTGTATCTCATGAGTGTAGTTCCAGCATCCAGATTCTCAGGTACAATCACATCTCTGTGCATGGCTAAAGGGGCAAAGGAGAGAAGAACAAGAGTCGGATTTGAATCACACGACCCTGTTCAGAAGTAAACCAAAAGACTGGAGTTTATTGCAGTTTCATTAAATTTTAATGGGAAGGCGATTGAACCAACAAACTCGCTACAAAACACACATCTGTAGTAAGACAACACCCTCTGTGGGGTTCCCTCATTAAAACAATAAATTGTATCTATTTATTTTATACTCGGATGTTGAGCCAATAATAAGTGTAGAAAAGAAAAGGAAATATAGATATGAGTTGAGAGTAACTCTCCATCACTGTAACCAGATACTATACACAGTCAAAAAGTGCAACAACTAGGCACAAAACTGACAGAGTACTCAGACATTCGACGTCCTGACACCTAGCTTCAACACATCTCCGTAGCGCTAACCGACAGCCTTCCAACTTGGAAGGTTCAAGGTTATGGAGAGACCAAAGAGGGGAAGGCAAGCGCAACGAAAATGAGCACAAGCTACAGTCCCAACAGAACAAAGAATGTCGATTGTTACTGGACTATGACGAGACCAGTAGGATATTTGACAAAGTAGCTTGTGCTCATTTTCGTTGCGCTTGCCTTCCCCTCTTTGGTCTTTCCATAACCTTGAACCTTCCAAGTTGGAAGGCTGTCGGTTAGCGCTACGGAGATGTGTTGAAGCTAGGTGTCAGGACGTCGAATGTCTCAGTACTCTGTCAGTTTTGTGCCTAGTTGTTGCACTTTCTGACTGTATATAGTATCTGGTTACAGTGATGGAGAGTTACTCTTAACTCGTATCTATATTTCCTTTTCCATTATACACTTATTTTATACCAAGCAATACATGGCTGGGGTAGCCAATGACCACTTTGCGTGACGATTGCAGGGTTTTTATAGCCAATCATGGCTAAAGACTAACTACTACTACCACTGTCTTGGCGATGTATCGGAATTTCACCATCATCAGGTCAAAGCACCCATCTTCGTTTGGTTCACGTTGTGCATTATGAAACACTCCATCACGCTGCGCCCTTAGCCCGCATTCACAACCCATGGCGAGTAAATTCGTTCTTGGATAGATGTTCTATTCATTGTTTTGAGGGAAAGAGGCAAATTGGATGCTAGCAGATACATGTTGTATATACAGGAGTGTTTCAAACTATTTTCAAATAGCCTGTTACTTTCAATAAGGGTTCGTTGTAGAATGCTCGGAACACACTCTCACAAACAAACTACGCAAGAATCTTCACCACGCACAGATGGACACTTTCAGTGTTGACAGAAACCAACTTCAACTCTCATCACTACAACGTATAGAGCAAGAACACAAGAATGGAATACACTTCCAAGAGAAACACACACCGAGCGAACAGCAAAGCAAAAAGCAACAACTGGTCGACGAAGCCAGACCAATAAAACCGAAACACGCAGTACCACAAGCCTCCACGTGCGCAGCGCGGGAATCTGGAGTGATTTGCATTGGTCACGCGACAAGTGCAGCCACACAGGCGCGTGCATGTAAAAAAACGCATGCAAGCAATGCATGAAAGGTGCCAGTGACATGGGCGGAACAGTGAACTGAATCTAACATACCTCCCTCATGAGCGAACCTAGGACTATGAGCGAATAAGACAAGTAGAACCATGGACACTGGTTAGATATGATTACTGTGAAGTACGACACATGGACATAATAATAATTATTATTATTGAGAGGCTAAACTAACGACAGCGAGAACGCAGTGCTATTGAAGTCATGCAACCAGTACGCTTGACAGTATACTATGAATGGTACTGTTATTCAAACTCAGGCAGATCCACTGCAGCTGTACCTGCCATCTTCTAACCGGTCGGAGCCACATCTAGCGACACAAGCTGGTGAACGCTTCTCTTGTAGACTTTGCCGCTCACCTTGATGTCGACCACACGGACACGTCCATCTCTGCCGGGGTATGTGGTTACTACTCTGCCCAATGACCAACGTGCACGGGGTAGCGAGGAGTCAGCAACGATCAGTACTGTGCCGACGTCGAGATCGACGGCATCTTTAAGCCACTTCGTGGCGAGGTTTGCACGTGCAACAACCTCCCTCATCCACCTCTTCCAGATCTGCTGCATGAGGTTCTGTAGAACTTTCCAGCGATGTCGGGGGTTGATACGGCTGTCAGACTCCACGTGTTCCAGGGGCGCTGTCATTGATGTATGGCCAATCAGGAAGTGCGCGGGTGTTAGCGGCTCGGGATCATCTATGTCATCGGAAACAACTGGCAAGGGACGCGAGTTCACTACTGCTTCTGCCTGAACAAGAGCAGTTAACAGCTTCTCCTCCGCCAAGTCTGCCTTATAGAGGACCGTCTGAAGAACCGGTTTCATGGCGCGCACCATCCTTTCAAACACCCCTAAGAATTGCGGGGAACGCGGAGGGTTGAACCGCCATTCCACTCCTTGGCCGGCTAAGTCAGCGGTTAGCGTGGCATGATTGATCTGCGACACTGCCTCTCTCAGTTCGCGCTCCGTGGCGACAACGTTGCCGCCATTGTCGGTGAGGATGAACTGAGGCGTTCTGCGACGACAGCAAAACCGAGTGAGAGCCATCTTGAAGCCCTCAGTGTCCAGGGATGTTACCATCTCAAAATGACATGCTCTAGACAGCAGGCATGTGAAGACCGCCACATAGCGCTTCTCCTGACTCTTTCCACGCCCTCTCTTGACATAGAAGGGTCCTGCATAGTTGACCGCCGTCCGAGCGAATGCTGGTAGAGTGCCCTGGGTACGGTAATCTGGTAGTTGACCCATCGGTGGCACTACAGGCTTTCGCCACACCTTCTGGCATCCTACGCAGCTATGCCTGTGCATCTTGACCATCTGCTTTCCCTTTATCAACCAGTAGCCATCTGCGAGGTTGGCCAGGAGGTGATTAGTACCCACGCTGTGTCGACAGCGCCGGTCTTCATGCTGGATGATGAGTTCCGTCACGTGATGACGCGGTGGAAGGATGACCGGTGAACGGAACTCCGATGACAAATGATGCGCGGTTCGGAGTCGACCGCCGACGCGCAACAGCCGATCTCCATTCTCGTCATCTAGGAACGGCCGAAGCTTCAGAAGCGGCGCACTAGGTGGCAGCTCGTGACCCTTCTCCAGGGTCGCAACAACAACAGGATAGACTTCTCGTTGACTGACACGAATCCAGTGGCGCTCCGCGCCCTGTAACTCTTCTGCCGACAGTTCGGGCACCAGCTCGGTACGGGACTCAGCGGTGGCAACAGGGACCTGTGCCTCAGTTAGTAGGGCATCAGATTCCTTGGTGCAGCGAGCCCTGGAAACGAAACGATGACACCACGCGGTGACACGAACGAGCCTCGTCCATGACGAATAGTGCTCGGGGTGGAGCCGATTGTCTGTTGTCGCAGCCGGAGTAGATGCAAGCGTGACGTCAGCTCACTTCAGTTGACTTGGTAGCACCTGTGGCACGATAATCTGCCTCTGCGGCCACTGCGAAGGTGGCTCCCGCAGATATGGTGGGCCTTCCCACCAACTCGACTCGTCGACTAGCTGCTCTGCCGTTAGTCCGCGCGTAGGAAAGTCAGCAGGGTTGAGCTTGCCGGGGACGTGGTGCCAGTTGCCGGTCATGGTCAGCTGCTGAATTTCTGAAACACGATTCCCGACCTCTATCTTGAACCTACGGCTGGGCGACCTGACCCAATACAGCACGTTCATCGAGTCCGTCCAGTAGTAGACATCAGATGTCGCAATGCCGAGGGTCTTGCAAACAAACTCACCCAGCCGCGAGCCCAGGACAGCTCCTTGCAGTTCTAGTAGCGGGATGGTACGGCGCTTGATCGGCACAGGTCTGGCCTTGGCGAGTGCAAGAGTCACGGTTGCGGTTCCGTCGGCGTTGCTGACCCGTACATACACTGCTGTTGCGTATGCCAGCTCTGATGCGTCGGTCAACACATGGATTGTGACATCATTGGTTGCTCCAGCTTCCCTGAAACACCGTCTAATCCTTAGCGCGGACAACTGCTCAAACTCACCGAACCATTTGAGCCATGACTCACGTTGGTGAACGGTCAGTGTGTCGTCCCATCCGTTTCCGGCAAGGCACAGCTCCTGGAACATGATCTTGCTGAAAATCGTAAACGGTGCAATCTGGCCTCTGGGATCAAATGGTGAGGCCATGCAGCTGAGAACGCCACGTTTGGTAAGCGTGACAGGGGCTGGATTCCGGCAGTGGAAAGTGAAGTCATCCACGAGACTCCCAGAGCCTTCCGCATCGCCTTGCCGGACCCATCCTGCACAGTGAAGGTCTTCGCGATGTCCAATGCTCGGTCTTCTTCAGGAATGGACTGCATGACCACCGGGCTATTCGGCATCCACTTGCGTAGGTGAAAGCCGCCCATACTTAACAGACGTTGGAGCTGGTCCTGTACCCGGATCGCCTGTTGCTCAGTTGGTAGCGACCTAAGCATGTCGTCTACGTAGAAGGACTGGCGGATGGTGCTACACGTCTCCGTGTCGAACTGATTGCCAAACTTCTCAGCCGTCTCTAGAAGCGCCCGTCCGGCCAGGTATGGCGACGCCTTAATGCCGAAGGCGAGGCGAGTGAACTCGAACACACGTATATCGTCATCCACGAACCATGGGAAGCAGTGGTAGCGCCGGTCCTCAGGTCTCAGGCCGACCTGCAAAAACAACTCCGACATGTCGGCGATCAGTGCGATGGGGTGCTCACAGAAACGGATGAGGACCTTCACAAGGTCGTTCTGGAGCTTGGGCCCTGCCAGCATGTGGTCATTGATGCTGCTTCCATTGAACTGAGCAGCAGCGTCGAAGACGACACGGACTTTGGTGGTGGCCTTGTCCTCTCGCACGACAGGGAAGTGTGGAAGTAGCCACTCGTCTGTAGCACCGCTGCATTTTTCCTGTGCTGTCAGCATCCTGATGTACGACTTGTGAAGGTAGTTCTCCAGTACCTTGGCGTAGCGGACTTGTACAACTGGCTGTCGCTGCAGGGAACGTACTAAGGATCTGAGTCGACACTCAGCTTGAACTCGATTGCTCTTGACCCCAGGTGGCTCCTCTGTCTTCCACGGGATGGCGACCTCGAAGCGCCCATTCACGTGACAGATGTACTGGCGGGTGTTACTCTCAGCTTGGCGCTCATCCGGTGTCAAGTACTCATCTGATGTCTCCATCCCGACTGATCTAAGTTCCCAAAACTTCTTCACCAGTGTGTCCAGTCCTGAGCGCGTTGCCTCTGCGACATGGAAAGTGCTGTGACTGCTGGGGCCTTTGGAGCGTATGCTGGGACCAAAGCAAACCCAGCCGAGAAGCGTTCGTCCAGCGATGTAATCGCCGTCGTTGCCAACTCGCTCCTGTGCGACGTGAAGTACAGAGGCATTCAAGTCGACGAGTATGTCAACCTTGGCGTGAGCTAGAGTTGCAAACTCAATGTCGGATAGGTGTGGCCACTGGCTCCGCACGGCATTCCAATTGGTGACAGGGAGCTGGCTCGTGATCTTGGGCATCACATAGGCCTCCAGTTGAGTAGTGGCCTTGCTATCATGGTGGCGAAGGTGCAGCTTCACGAAGCGCCGTCGGCCGCGCAGAACCTTGCCACCTAGTACGGTCACACTCACGTCCTTGTCGTTATCTTGAAGATGTATTCGCCTTGCGAGCTGCTCTGACACATAGCTGCAGCTCGAGCCAGAGTCCAGTAGCACATTCGCCATGGCGGAATGTGCCCCGTTCATGACCTGGACAGGAACTGTCATAAATGATGTTGACCCGCTTGCGCCGTCTTCGGTCATTGGCAACCCTCCAGCCGAGTCGGTTCCATGATGTGTGGTCTCTTCTGTGGATTGTGGCGCCTTCTCCGCCTTGTCAGAAGCAGGCTTGCGCTCGGTGTGGTGCAACAAGTGATGCTTGCCATTACATTCCGTGCAGGCAGCTAACTCACACTCTCGTGCTCAATGGCCATCACCCAGGCAGTTCAAACATAGATTCAGCAGCCTAGCCAACTCATTGCGCTTGTTGACACCTAGCGCCTTGAATTCGTTGCAGTGACGCAACTGATGTGGCCCATTACACTTTCGGCACTTTTGTTGCCGTGCTGGAGATTTTGTGGCTGCCGACTTTTTGTCCTGCCGGCGGACACTGGCCGCTGCCAATGTCTGATGCTTCATCTTCGGTTTAGGTTGCGAAGTGCTCTGGGATCGCGTCTCCTGCTTCTCGAGCAACCCAAGCCGGTCCGCGGCATGCTTCAAGTTCTTGACGTAACTTAATAGCCACGTGGCGAACGCATCGATGTCAGTGCTGCCAGTTCGATGCTTATCGAAGAACTTGATCAGCATGGACTTGGGAATTTTTTCCGTCTCAAGTATGCACAGCTCTTGACTCTGCGTGCTGCCAATGGTGCGAATGTTAGCAATTGTGCTGCGGAGCTTGACGGCATACTTTTGCAGGCCTTCCAGATCTCGCTCTTTGGCAATTCTTGCCTGCGTTATGACCTCTCGTAACTGCTGCTCTAGATGCCTGTCTGTTCCTCCAAACCAGGACTCCAACTCACCCCAGGCAACGGAGTAAGTGCCTGGCCCGTCAAGAAGGTCCACAACAAGATCCTTGACTGTGCTGTTCTCAATGGCCTCCCTCAGTTGGGCATCTTGTATTCGTTTGGCAGGCGTGGATCAATGTATTGGAGGAAGGAATTCCTCCAACGTTGATAATCATGCGCCTTGCCACTGAACGCCGGCAGTTTCAGAGGCTTCATGAACGATTGTTGTGGCATGTAGCCAGAATGCGCAAATTGATAATTTTGCGGAGGCAGGGTGCTGCTGGTCTTCGGCACGTACTGCGGTGCACACACGTTCAGGGTTGAATGCCCTGAGGCCATGGGCATGGTGGAAATCCTTGGCGGCTGACTGGCTTGGTGCATCGTACTACCCACAACTGTTGGCGCATGTCCAAATGTTGGCAGTGACGCCATCATCGGCATGGGCGGCATTGGCTGTGGTGGCGCAGATCCAAACCCAATGACTGGGGGTGCTGCCCTCATAGGCAGCTGTTGAGGTGGCACTGATCGTGGCAGAGATCCTGTTGATGCCAACACTGGCATTGATGAGGGAACACTGCATGGGTGCTACCTGTACACTGGCTGCACTAGATGCATTGGGCGCAGTGTGTGTAGATACAGCAAGTCCTAGTGGCTGAAAAGCACTTTGCACAGCAGATGCCATGGGTGCATGTAGACCACTTACTGCTTGCATGGTCTGTGTCTGTGGCTGATGAAAGGACACTAAGCAGAGGCGCTGAGATGCGTCCTTGCATACCGGATGTAGTCCTGGCCAGTGGAGCGCCAGTTCCAATGCCGCTTCTGCCAGTTCTGCAGGTCTCTGCTGGTCCAACTGACTGTGATCTGCTGGCACTAACTGAGACTGCACCAGACTGTCCAACGGATGAGGTGAGATCCAGCATAGAATCCAAACGCCCCGCACCTGAGCTGCTCTCCAAAGCGTGCTCCTCTTCGGTTCTGGCGTTTTCATCGTGTTGCTGCGACTGGTCACCTCCATCCGGCGTTTCTTCCAGAAGTGCGCTCACATCAGCCAGCAAGCTAATATCGTTTCGGAATTTTTCCTCACACTTGTCCAACATGTCCAAGCGTGCAGAATCCTGTTGCTGCTCCAGTAGCTCCCTATGTCCGTGGAGCAGTTCTTCAATGGCGTGCACGAGCTCCTCAGCCTTGCGTACGTTCTTCCCAAGGTACCTGCGGCTTGGACTCGACTTGCCAAATTCACTCGACAATCCTTTTAGGCACAGCGTCAGCCTTCGCCTCAGCTGCTTGCGCTGCCTCGTCGCCAAAGGCTGAGCCATCCGAGGCGTCCAGGTTGTCTTCACTGGTCCCATCTTGGGTAGAGCGGTCCTGCTCTAATCCATCCATGGCCGAGGAAACTGCGTATCCCGTCGGAGGTGCCAAAAATGTTACTTTCAATTCGTTGTAGAATGCTCGGAACACACTCTCACAAACAAACTACGCAAGAATCTTCCCCACGCACAGATGGACACTTTCAGTGTGGACAGAAACCAACTTCAACTCGCATCACTACAACGTATAGAGCAAGAACACAAGAATGGAATACACTTGAAGTCTTCCAAGAGAAACACACACCGAGCGAACAGCAAAGCAAAAAGCAACAACTGGTCGACAAACCGAAACACGCAGTACCACAAGCCTCCACGTGCGCAGCGCGGGAATCTGGAGTGATTTGCATCGGTCACGCGACACGTGCAGCCGCACAGGCACGGGCATGTTTTGTTTTTTTTTTGTTTTTTTTTACTATGTTCACATTCCCAGCTCGAATATAATAAAGAAAGACAATGATACTGAGACTAGGACGAACGTGACAACTATTGAGCAGGGGCTGCAGCGAGACGCAGCAGTGATGGTGGGGCATTGATGGCTCTGCCGACCTGAGGTCTCGGCATCACGGCCAAAAACACGCACCAAAAACAAAAGATAGAGCTGTACGAGTCAGCAAAATGAAAAGAAAGGAAGGGTTAACACCAGCGAGTGAGCGGGAGAAACTGTGAGACTATTAACAAATTACAAGGGCTGTTACTGAGAGGAGCATCATCATGGCTGATCATGGCGAGTCAGTCGTCTGAGCCAGTTGTGGTGCATAGATAGGGATAGAGGAGAACGACGAGAGCATCATCATAGCGAGTCGACTGCCCAGAGCCAGTTTGTGCTTCGCAGATGGCGATAAACATTAGTTTTGAATGCTTGTATTCCCTTGCTGTGGGGAGGCTGGGACAGAAGAGCGGCGGGGAGGGAGTTCCAGTCACTAATACTGCAGTGTGGGAACGAGCGCTTTAATGCCTGCGGGACAGATGCAAGCAGCTGGTGTTGGAGCTGGTGGTCATGGCCAATGACGCTACCATGCTCGCTGCGAGTTCTGGGGCTGGATGAGGGGAAATGGCGCGGTGGCAAAACAGGCAGAGAGTAGCTGCGGAGGGCCAGGCAGGTAATGCAGCTTGTATAGGCAGGCAAGCGAGGCAACAGTACGACGGATGGCCAGGCTAGGTAATAGTGCACCTGGACCGATGATTCGCAGAGCACAGCGTTGGATATGATCCAGGCGTTGCAGGTAGCTGGGCGGAGCACCTATCCAGATGAGGGGGGCATACTCCATAACTGGTCGAACAAATGCTTTGTATACTGTGGTGCGGCCGGCTGGAGAGAGAATGTGCGCTGCACGGCGCAGGAAGCCCAGGCGTTGTTTGGCTCGAGTGGCAACCTTCCGGAGATGTTGTTGTTGTTGTTGTTGTTGACATGTTATTTTGTATCGCAGACCAAACGGGCAATGGTGCCCAATATTATGATGGCGATAAAGAAACGGCCGAGAGCCAAGGATACAACAAGCAAGCCTCCACGAAAGAGAGAAAAACACAGAAAACACAGACTGCAAATACTCAAAAAGAAAAAGAGAAAGGGAAAAAAAGAAAAAGAAAGAAGAAGAAAGCACAGTTGAGTCACAGTTGAGTCACGACTCAAAAGTCAAAGCCTAGATGCTGGCTAACCATAAAAATAAACCTTTAAAAGTCTCTTGAATGATCTATGGCAGGCGAGGGACTTGAACTCTTGGGGCAGGACACGGCTGACAAGAAGCGGCAACTTAGAAAGATGGCGTCGGTTCGAGATGGCATGGTAACCGCGCACGTGCCGTGGTCCGTGACTTGCTCATGTATGCACGCAAATGCAAGTCACAAACTCACAAAGATCGTCTTCGCATTTTGGAGAAAATATCTTCGACTCTCTTTGGAGGTTGGCGAGGTTTGCCTAATCTTTACTTGATTGCGATGCCGGTATATCCTCTCAATAATTAGAACAAAGAGAGCTGATGATCGCTTCATTGCTGAGCAGAAGTAACAATCAACTCTCCTCATGTCCTCAGTGCCAAAGGCAGACGACTGCAATTCCACAACGCTCATTTCACGATGATGGAAACAATTATCGTGTACTAGTACACACTTGGACCATTTGGTCATCCCTATTCTAGCTGCTAGTCCGTCCAGCAAGCAGATATTGACTACCGTACTGGCAATATTATGTTGCCGCAGTGAGGCCATGAAGCGTTACATTGGCACATGTTTGCCGCACGCAGGGCGTTACATGCAAAGTCGCACAGGAGCCGTTACACAGGTTTCTATATTGCCGCAGTCCTTTTTTTGCTATTGCCGCATCACTTTTTTGCTATTGCCGCATCATTTTTTTGCTTTTGCCACATCATTTTTTCTTTTCATCTACATTAAAGTAAAAAAAAGTAAATTATCGTATCCGTTCCCGAAGGGAACTCACGACGGCCGCTAACACCCGATAAACCCTAGCGGCAGATGCAGCGCCTAACGGTGGGGGTGAGTGGGCAAGTCTCACAACCACTGGCACAAGTGCCGAAAACGACCCCATTAGCTGCATCCATGTACCCCTTGTGCCTGGCCACAAGTTCCCAGTTGACTGTGGGTAGCAGCACGGCTGGAAAAACCGCTCCCAGGCAGGACTTGAACCAGGTACCTCTCGTATCTCAATCATGGTCTTTGACCAACCCACTGTGCCTGCCTGGTCATCTACATTGAAGGCACAGAAATTCAGTTGCTATCCAACTGTTACAAACCCGACGGCAAAGGGCGACAACGATATCAATAGAAGACTGTATATTTTAACTATCAGAGTGCAAAACGACCTCGGGAAAGAAGAAACCATTGAGATCGCCAACCACTGAATGATGCGCCTTCGAGTGTGAGGACTTCCTGCTGC